GAGAGAGAGAGAGAGAGGAGAGCGGTGTGTCTCTGCCTCTCTCGCCCACACTGTGTGCCATTATAGAGGTGAATAACTAAAATAAAGATACACAAAGAGTCCAGCGGTTTCTAAACTCACCTTCCAGCGATAGAAACACACAAACTGAGTATTAAAATGAGACGCAAATGTTATTTAGATAAAGTCACACAGAGGGAAACCATCTGCCGCGTTCAGGAGCCGCAAGAGTTTCGCGCCACATACAGAATAACCGGAAGTCAGTGACATTAGCTAACCAATTAACTCAAGTAACCTGGCTAACTGTGCCAGGCTTAATGCTAAACTAACTCATCTAAAGGTGAGTAACGTGGGAGGAACACATTATATCTGGATAATATAATATATTACGAACTTAAAATGTCAGTTAGTTGTCTTTAAGATGTAAGCTATTGGGTTTAAAAGGTTTGCTTATTGTTAGCTACATTTTTCAGTTGCAATGTTAGTACATTATACACTTTACTACCCTAGTTAACGTTGCTGAAGTTATATAAGTTTATAAGATTCATAATGACACAGTCACAGTCCTTATTCAAAACTGTAAATTCAGTCGTTTTTAAAAAAGGTTGTGTTTATCCATTTATTCTCTCCCTCTGACTCACTGGTCAAAGCTGTAGTCAGCAGCTAGCTTCAAAATATCATTTTCTTGTAAACCTTAAGGAGACATAAACTGGTTGTAGTAACTAACAGCATCTCATTTAGGTCAGATTGTATTTATCCTACTAAGAGATTCCCTTGGTTGTCCACTGTGTAATGTGTAAAAATACAGAGGGATAGCTTGTGTGGTTGTGCATTACTATTTCATCTGGTAATTTAAAGATAAAGAAGATATATATGACGGGAAGATTATTTCATTTGGTGAATTATTTGTATTATAATATACAGTAGAGTGCTTGATATTTCAAATATAATCCTGCAGATCCCATACCATAGATTCAAAAATAACAATCCAGTATTTGAGGATTTATAAACCTCTGAAAGGTAACAGACACATCACATGTTTGATGCCAGCACGTTGGTGTCCTAAAATTCTCCCTTCTAACTTTTGGTTCATTGATATGGGAAGCTTGAGGGTGAAAGAAGCCTTTTTTCACAGGAGATATATAGACTGTCACAGTAGGAAAAGCACAGGTGTAAATCATAAGACTAACGATGGTCGAATTTAGCACTTTCGTTTCAAGTACTGTACATGCTGGCTCACTGTCACACTGACATGGCTACTGGGACACTTGAATAAAACAGAGCCATCGTTAATGGTATTAGTAACACCTGCTCTTTTCCTGCTGTGACCAGGCCGTACTGTGTGTCTGATGTGAAAAAGGCCTTTTGTGTCCATTGTAACAAAGCTAGCATTGTCACAAACGGATGCACAGCAGTTCCAGACTCGGGTGTTAAAGTAGGGATGCAACATTACAGTGACAGTGCTGTAGTGCCAGTGAAGCATCATGCTGTGTGACAATCTGCTCTGGTATAGGAAATCCACTCACTGAACATCATGTTGTTGTCTCCTATATTTTCTTTAAAGGTTTGCTGTAGGATTACTTCCATGTGTTTTAAACTGCAGGTTCGGCGTAAGGTGAGTTACTGTGGGCTATTACGGTGATACAGCAGTTTTGAATTGAGTTAGATTGAGTCTTTCACGAGGTTAAGAAGTTTAAGAGGTTTTTCTATAAATGTTATCTACCAAAAGTAAACTATGCATTACAAAAATTCCTGACATGATTGCATTTTTTGTTAGTAACACATATATATATGAGCAGTGTGGCGTTCTGATGCAGTATTCACACTCAAGCTGTTTCTATTTTAGGTTCAGTTGATTGGAGAAAATGGAGAAAAACACACCAGAAGATATCAGGCCCCAAACTGAGCAAGAGCTTACTTCACCACTCTCCCCCAAACGACCAAGGACAGACTGTACAGTGACAAACAACCACAGTGAGAAGAGCAGATTTGACTTTCCAGAGCTTTTGACTTTTCGGAAAGCCATTTGCTCCCCATCATCAACAAGTACCTTGCAGAAGAATGCGGACCTAGTAAACACAGCAGAATGTGGGGATAGTGATGACAAAAAGCCTCATGAGCGACCACACGATGCTAAATTATTTGTCACCCCTATTACTAAGTTGGCTGCTTTACACACTGACGATGCACACACGGGATCAGCCAAACCCTGTTTTATCAGTGCTGAGAGAAGCTTCCTACTTCCTCTGAAAGATGAGCAGCCTCCTGTTACTGAAACTGACAAGCTCAGCTCATACCCAATAGATGATGCAGGTGGGGCATTAGCAGAGCCTCACACTTCAAAAGGCGCCAGCGCTGACACGTCCAGTCAACCTGATTGCAAGCGGCTGGGGAAATCACTTGAAGACAAGCCCCCTGGTGGTTGCAGTCTTCCTGCTGGAAATGACGAAGATGGGAGACAGGTGCAAAATAGTGTCATTCAAATCCAGGGCTTCACCCTCAGTTCAAGTGATGAGGAGGTCAGGTGTCAGTCTGATTGCATTTACGAAGACATGCTACGCAACACAGGTTTCACATGTGGTAAAGTTGAAGAGAGTCCTCAGAAGGGGGACGAGCATGGATTTAGTGAGAACATACTTTTAAGCAAGGAAAAGGAAGAAACTAACGTATCTTACAGTGATTATGCAGACTCTAAATCATTCGACTCAAATCCCGACAAGGACCCCTCTGGGAACTTGGCAGAAGGTGTAAAAAATGAGAAAAGAATATTAGAATTGCAGATTTGTGAGAATGAAAATGTTGCCGTTGGTGATGGGGAAACAAAAGGCCAAGTTAATGAGAATGGCCTGAGCAAAAACTCCATCCCTTCTGCTGCTGAATGTGCTGGGGGATCAATTGTTTCTTATGATGTGGTATTAGCCAGAAATATTGCAATTGAGAATATGAATCTTGAAGCTGATGACTTCTGTGGGGCAATAGGAGAACATGCTGCTGGAAAGATGATAGCCAAAGCTCGGAGTGAAACGGCTGATCACACAACAGAGACTCCAATGCCGGCAAGGATCAGTCAAGAGCCTGCTGAAGGAGATAATGATGCGGGTCCTTTCAGTGTAATTGACCCTGCAATCTGGAGTGAAACTGACAGGGAGGCTGAAGAGAAACACTGTAACTCAGGGAGCGCTGCAGGTATGGAATTATCTCCATCAGTAAAAGTCTGTGAGATGAAAATGCCTCTTCTACTCTGCTCTGACGTCAGGCCGCCACAGGAGGTTTTAGTTCCCGACCAGACCTGGCAATTTAATCACCAAAGCAGGACACAGCAGAGCAAAGATGAAATAGACGACTCGTGTCAGTCATATGCAGAACCACAGGCCTGTGCCACCACCACCAGTGAAACACACAACAAGACTGGCAATGGAAGCAGCTGTCATTGGAAATCCAGTCCTAGCAGCAGTCCATGCAAGCCCACAAAGCCTACTCCTGCTGGGGATGGAAGACAAGAAAGCCATGATGCTGTGGGATATCACTTAAAAGAGCAGGATCAGTCCAGCAGTCTTGACCCACTGAATACACAGGGAGTTGAATATTTACAGAGTGAAATTGGCAGAATGGACGGGGCAACTGAGCTAAATGAAAGAGAAATGACAAGTTTTGGAGAAGAAACAGGAACTGATGAACATGGGAAATCAGAAAACTCAACGGACTTCAAGGAAAGACATCTGCAACAAAATGAAAAACACAAACAAGACACAACTGAAACATCAACTGTTGATTGCATCAATGGCTGGACTGGAGTCAAAATAAGTAAATATGACAACAAACTAACATATATTGATAAGGACTTTGGAAATAACCTTGAATGCTTGTCTGATCACCCATACAGTACTGTCATTTCAAAGATGGAGGGGACAACAGAGAAAAAGGAAAGAAAAGAAGAGGAAGAAACTGATGTGCAGGATAACTCAGATTTATTAGTGACATCAGAGGATGATGGTCATCACCAACAAAGTCAGCAGAAAGGCGACATGACTGATGAATGTTCCAGCGAATGGACAGAGTGCAACATGAGTAACAGTGGCAACAAATTAACCCCCGTTAGTCAACATGAACAAGGAATCAGGCTCAGTTGTTTCTCTGATTACCAACACAAACCAGAGACATTCATGGTTGAAAATAAAGACGACCTTTTAGCTGTCACCTTTCCAGCCACTTGTGATGCAGTTGTGCCAGGTCCACATGAATTAATCCATTCACAAAATGCTGACAACAACCCCACAGCCCTAAACTGTGGTGACAGATTTTCCCCAGTGCCATCTGCCTTTACTTTCTGCAGCCGTATGCCGGCGGGGTTTGACACTTTTGAAAAGATCCAGCTTTCACTAGATGACGATGACGATGACGCTGGCCTGAGCAACAGCCCGCTCCTCACCAGCCTGCCCGGGCAGCTGTTGAACACATCCCAGCGACAACTTTACCACTCCATGCCAGAGGCGGAGAGCAATGAGCACGAAGAGGAGGGTGAGGTGGAAAGATCTGAGTGTCACACTGAGAACACGGCAAATGGATTTTTAAACAGTGATTACAGTTGTAATGAACTTCCAAACTTTATCTCAGCCACAGATGTTGCTGCTCTCGGATGGCCAGAGCAACAGCCTAACAGTGAACCAGCCTTTAATTCCTCTGAGTGCTCCCAGGATGACTTAAACCCACAGTCATTGTCCTCCACTGTTTCCTCTAAGAGCGACAGTCCAGCCCCTGATGTGAGCGACAGCCCTAAATTTGAGATGAAAAAACAATTCGACATGGTCATGAAAGAGCTGAACCTGTACTTTGAGATCAGTATAAGTGATTTTGCAAGCGACAGTAAAGCATCGTCACCTCTGCGGTGTAGTGATTTAACTGAAG